TAAACTTTAATCCCAAAAATACCTAAATAATGTCTAAAGAATTAACTGCAGAACAACGCGGCGCTATATTTTTTTGCCGTCAACGCGGTGATAGTTACCGAACTATTGCCACAACAGTCAGATGTGGTGTGTCAACAGTATTTGACACTTTGAAAAGAATGGATGACACCGGAATAACTAATTCGAGGCCTCGCTCTGGCTGATCATCCCTTCTTGGACCTTTACAACAAAACCGGCTTAAGAAATTTGTAACCAATAATAATGGAAAGAACCGTCGCTTATGTACTCCAGAAATTCAACAATTCTGGAATAAAAAGACTGGCCAAGTTATTTCAACTCGTACTATTGGCCGTGCACTTCGTGCAGTTAGATTAAATAATTATATTACTCAATGCAAGCCTCTAATTTCATCAGTAAATATGGAGGCATGTCTTGCATGATGCTTAGAATATCAAAGTTGGACAAAGGACAATTAGTCGAAAGTTCTGTGAAATGACGAGTCGACCTTTTCTCAATTTCAACAATCTCAATGCAGTAGAGTTTGATGAGAACCTAGTGAAGAATATAACATTTCTTGTGTTTCTGCAATAGTAAAGCATAGCCCAAGTCAAATGTTTTGGGAATGCTTTTTGAAACAAGGTGTAGGATTTATTGTTCCATTATTTGGAATAGCAACTGGTATCTCACATGTTACTATTCTTCAAAGATTTGTCATGCGAACCATGAGGCATGTATTTTCAAATGGTGATGGTTGGTTTCAGGAGGATAACGCTCGTCAAATACATCGAAAGTTGCGAAGAAATTTTATACAGAAAATGGCTTGCGCAAACTTTTTTGGCTGGCTCAAAGTCCAGACCTCAATCTGATTGAAAACCTATAGGCAGATGTTAAGAAAAGCATTTGTGGAAAGAAAAAAATGCCTTCTAATATTGCTGAACTCGAACAATATGTTAACAAGACATGGAGAAAAATTCCGATACAAACTATCAAAAATTTAGTCGATAGTATACCATAGCGAATTCAAGCTGTGATTAAAGCAAAGGGAGGTCCAACTAAGTATTAATTACTTAATACAAAACTTAGTGAATATCTTATTTTAATAAAGATATTAATAAACTTTTTTTATTCAAATTATAAAATTTTAAGTTTTTTAATGAGCCAAAAAGTGTTCAGAGACTTTTGGCGGCCCTCTGTACTTCAATTTTAATCTTTTATATTTTTTGTATTATAATCTAAATAATCTTTTACTAAAATATATATAATATTATTTTATTAATTAAATAAGTAATAAGAAAATCTAAACTCAATAAATTTAATTACTTTAATTTATTTTTTTTGATTATAAAATAATTTACAATTTAACATTATTTAATATTATTATATTTAGCTATATTGTAAAATTATCTTGTTAGTATATAGGTTAATTTCTAGAAAAAATCAGACTTTAAAAAGTTTTAACATAATTAAAATTACTATTGTATTTTAGTTTTAAGTGATAAAAATGATTTGTATTACACTAGATATTTTATAAATTAAATTGAATCTCCTTATTAAACAAAGTATAATCCTTAATCTGAGATGAAATAGAAATGTTATTTATTTAACAGTAGTGGTATTCTTGTTCAAGAAAAGGATAATACTTTAAGTTTAGTTTTATCCATTTACCTTTATTTTTTTTTTTTGAATTCTAGTATAAAATAATAATTTATTAATAAGTTTTCATTTTCTTCCATTTCAACTCATTCAAATTTTTTTCATAATAATAAATAAACTTGAGTTAATTATTTCAAAATATATATATTTTTAATGAAATTAAATTTAATATATAAATCTTCTTTGTAATCAATAAAAAAGAAGAAATCTAAATTTTGATAAAATTTTTTTGTTGGTCTACTTGACTGATCACAGTCATGTGTTGTTAATATTACTTTATCTGTTGAATAAGTTAACTATGATTCAAAGTCAGGAAGATAATAGCTATGACTTAAATTCAATCAACTTAATATGATATTAATTAGGTAGTTCATTTGGTTAATAAGAATAAAATTATGTTTTATATTTGAAAAATATTAATATTATTTATTATTATTATTAATTATTATTAAATTTATATTGAATACAATTTTGAAATCTGTTTTTTTCCTAAAATACTTTCATATCCTTTATATAAGAAATTAAAATTAATGAAAATTTCTGACTCCTTTCTATTATTAATATTAAGATCATTTTCTCCTTTTTTTATTTTTAAAATCAGTTAATTATATGTTTCTAATAGGTATAGGTAATCATTTAATTAAATCTGTTTTTAAACTATTATTAAATTTATAAAAAATAATTAATCATACATTTATGTTTTTTAGCTTAATTTTAAAACTTATATTTAATTTCAATAACTTCAAACTTTAATAATTTCTTTATCAGATAAAATAAAAATATAGCTATTATTTATTACCTTTATATAATCTTTTGACCAACTTTTTATTTAACTCAAAACAATAATAGATTATTAAAATATCATTTATTTATCTTTAAAAGAATCATATAAAAAAAATTATAGCATATTTTTAATCAATTTAATATTATTTAGTTAATCATTTATAATTTACTTTTCTAAGATGTAAATTTTGTTTCATATGCTTTTATTACATAAATAAAATTATCAAACGTTTCAAAAATATCCTATACTTAATAATTGAAATATTTATGTAAATTAACATTTATATTAAAAAAAATGCAATTTGAGAATATTTAATAAAATGATTATTTGTTTTATTACTTAATTAGTAATGTATATATCATAATAATGTTAAAATTTAAAATAATAATTTAATTTAAGTTTTTTTTCAGAAAATAGTTAACTTTATTTGGTAAGTTGATCTGAAAGAATCTAAAATTGAGTTTTCTAATTATTTTTTACTTTTTTAAAAAAAATCTAAAACAAAAAAAAAATAAAATTGGTTTTAAATAATTTACAAAAATACTAAAAAGTTTAAAAATAATAAAAGTTTAAGATTAAAATTCAAATATTTAAAAGAAAGGGTAGAAAGAATAACTAAAATTAAGTAAGAAACTATTAATAAATTAGAAAATAAGATTAGAGAAAAAATCAAAGTTAAGCAAGAAGTTATTATTAATTTAGAAAAAAAGGTTAGAGAAAGAGAAAAAGTATCTAAAGAAAAGTAAGAAATAATTAATAAATTAAAAAAAAATTAGAAATCCATGTTAAGTGGAGCATGTATAAGAATTGCTTCAATTCAGCAGCTAGCACAGAAGTTAATGTAGCAGAATTTTTGTTTGCAAAAATTTTGTTAGGAGGTACAGTCAGTTCTCCATTCGGGGCAATATTTGGAACAATTACCTTTGGTTTAGGGATTTGGGCCGGTTCATACCTACTGAATTGTGGCATTGGCCTGACCAAAGTTCCAGAAATTCTCAAAAAACTTAATAATATAATGGAGAAAGCTTTAAAAGCTTATGATGAAGGCGACCATCAGCGTTTATCAATGTACTTGCTGAGGATTATAAACCTGGCAGTCTTTTAAATTTAGGGAATCATTCTAGTGTTTTTGATGCTAACAAATTAGTAGAGACGCTTTAAGCTATGGTTTTAGATCAGATGGTATCGCTTATCTATTAATATTGCTTGATGAGGTCTTGAATAGCGGGAAAATAAATATTGAAGGAAAAACAACAAGGGAATTAATGCCGCTAGCAAAGAACGTACTTTCTGGGTTGAAGTCCAAAAAACTTGAAGAGATGGCCATAAATCTCGATAAACGCATTTACGAATTACAAAAAGAGAACAACTTTTTTGAAACTGCCCTTAATAAAGTTATCGATTTTGTTTCTCTTAAGGAGTATCACAACATAGCTAAGGAGTACATGGATGACGCTAATAAATCCTTTCTATCAAGGTTAGAAGAAATGCGTGACATTGCAGACATTAACCTCACAATGTTTGATATAATTATGGTGGTATAGAAGAACTTGAACGAGCCAAAAAAAACTATTAAGAAAATTCGAGATAAGAATTATAGTTATGATTTTTCTGAGCTGCGCTTAGAAGTTTTGGAGGATTTCTTATTTGTCATATATGGTTCAGCATTACCTCAAATTATCTAAAATCACTTTTCCAATAGAATCTGAAAATCAAAGTATTTGATACCTAGACTTTTGAATTTATGCCTTTGATTTATTGAAATTTATTTTATTCTGGATATTCTTTATATTATGATTTTATATTTTATTGGCGCAAGAAATTAGTTCTTTGTTTGTAAATGCAATATGGTTAACTTGATTTTTATATCGGTAGCATAATAAAGATATTCAACCTTGATATTTCGTTATCTGGTCTAACAATTAGAAATGATTTTTACTGTTATAACTAGATTAGATTTTGAATAAATTTTTGGGACATAAAATTTTCAATCTATATAAAACAATGTCTAAATTAAGATCACTTTGATGATTCTATTAAAGCTTGCCAAATTAAATTTATCATGGAAATTTAATTTTTTAATATCAGATATCACATATATATGATTCATTTGATTACCGTGTCTCCAGTTCGAGTATTTAAATAATCTATACCAGAATTTAAGGTTTGAATAGTAATTATTTAATCGTAATTAAATCGAACGTTTGTTAAATAGAATATAATATCTTTCTTGCTTAACTAATAAAAGTTTTGTTTCCGAAATACTCTTCTAACTTAACTAAATCTGTCTAGATCGAGTGTAAAACTCTCTTGCTACGTCCTTTAAAATGAAAATGCGAATGTTTCAGGCTGACGATTTTTCCAAAAAATTTGTTATAAGTTCTTTTTTCGGATTGCGCCGTATCGTTTTATTATTATAATTTTTTTATTTGGTTTTACGTTTAAATTTTTTTTTTAGTTTTGGGTGATAATACGTGTCCGAGTGTTCTTATTCTAATTTATTAAGTTAAAATTTTTTTTATTTTAGACGAATTCTTAACATATATTGCCTTGATTAAGGTTATATTTTATTCATTAATTAAGAGCATAGGTGAATTATAAATATTTTTATTAAATTCCTTTTTTTCAGGCAGGCTGCAGCAATAATCTAGTTATATGATGGCTTTAATTTGTTTTCGCCATTTAGGTTGTCACTTAGAATTAGTCCAGGTTTTCTTGTTGTTTAATACTTAGAGATAACGGCGTGAAAAATGTGAGAAAAGATTTTATCTTGCAATTTTCGATTTCGGTCCTATTTACCTCGAAGCGGATTATCAGGTGTACGGAAGATGAAAAATAGTGTATGTCTTCTAAAAAAAATAATTAAACTATTTTACACGTTTCTTAGTATAATCAATGATTCCACCAAGTAATACATCGCAACAACACATAATCCTTTTTTTTTTTCCTTTTTATTAAGAACGAACACGGAATGAAGTTCACAAAACTATGGTTGTATTTATTAAGGTATCCTAAAATGCGTTGTAATAATAATAACAATGGAAACATCATTCTGAAAGGAAATAAGTTAAGTTTAAAACAATACCGTCAATGTTGACTCTTAATGAATTTACTGCGAAATGTGAGTATTGTATTAATAAAATTTTAACATGATAAAAAAGCTATTTGTACCGAAATTTGTAGCCAAAGCTTCATGCAGAATTATTTTCATATTAAGGCTAAGCGTCACACTGTATTTGATATTTCGTAAATAAATTATCCCGAACGTTGGGATTTAGAGGATGGTAGTTTATATTTTTATTTTTTCGCAGAATGAGCATTTGAATTTGCCTACAGATAAAGACAATACAGTACACTTTCTATAGCGAATTTTTTTTATAGCGAATAATTTACTACCACGAAGTAAAGTGCAGGAACATATTTTTTATTAAAATTTTCTAATATAACGAATTTTATAGTAAAAAATTCTGTAACTCGTAATTCGAATTTAAATGTCAAGACAAATATAATAAAATGACCCTTAATATAGCGAAGAATTTTGCTATACCGAATTTTTAAAATGTTACACAATTAATTAACGAATTTTGATCACGTGAAATTTTATTTGAATAATTCGAATTTGCCTTTAGAGGTTAGAATTTTTGCAACTGAAGTTAAAAAGGAAAATTATCACAAATAAAATCATGATTTATTTTGATCATAATACAGTAAATATAATCTTGATTTAGTTAGTTCTTTTTTTACACGCCACCATGCCCAAAACTAAAAGTGCATGAAATAAATATTCCTAAGCAAAAGGTAAAGATAAAATGACTCAAGATAAAACTTTGTCAAAAAGTATATCTTTAACTGTTGCCCAAAAGCATGAATATGTCTTAAAAAAATTTAATGAACCTTGTATAAAAAATAAAGAGCTGGTAAAAATATATAATATAAGTAAAAGATGTATTAGTGATACATTAAAAAGATTATAAAAATGGCTTGAAATTGATCCTCAAGCACCTGAAGCTCAAGAAAAAAGAAATATTAAGTTGAATTATCTGGAAATTGAAAAGGCTTTTACATTATAAATATTGAAAGCTTTAGAAAATGGTGTTGAAATTAGTAATCAGATTTTATATAAAAAAGCTATGACATTAACTTCTTTATATAAAGTTGAAAATTTTAAAGGAAGTAAGGGTTGGATTTGTGGATTTAAAAAAAGACATAATCTTTTTTGTTATTTAAAATAAGAAGAGGCCACAAGCATACCTCTTGATAAACTTTATAAATACAGAAAAAACCTTTAAAATTTGATTCGTGATTATAGTCTTGAAGATATTTTCAATTATTATGAAACTGAATTGTATTAAAAAATAAAACCCAAAAGAATAATCTCCAATAAACCTGTATCTAGAAGAAAACAATTCAAGGATTGGGCAATAATTATTTTTTATACTAATATAACTGATACTGAAAAACTTAAACTACTATTCATTTATAAATATAAAAATCTATGCTCTTTAAAGAATTTATATAAAGCATCTTTGTAAGTAAAATATTATTGAAATTCAATAGCCTGGATGCAAGTTTTTATCTGAAATAATTAGATTTGTCAGCTTGATGCATAAATAAGATTAAAAAGAAGGAATATTCTCCTTCTTATAAATAATGCATTTGTTCATACTTTGTATAAAGATATGAAACTAATTAATATAAAAATTGAATTTTTACCTCCTAATATCACTGTACACTTACAAGTATATGATAAAAGTAATATAAATAGTTTTAAAATACTAAAATTTCAATCTAAGTTTAATATTTAAAAAATTTAACTTATATTATTTAATTTTGTAGATATAATACCAAAAATTGCTTTTTAAAATCATATTAAGGTTTTTGATTTTTAATAGAAATAGGTAATAATAATCTCTAATCAATATCAAAAAGGCTATTAAATATGTGGTATTAGCCTAGAATAAAGTTTTTTCTCAAAGTATATTAACTGTTAGAATAATACAGAAATTTTATGAGATAATACAAGTTTTTATAATGAAATAGAAGAGAATAAGCATAAAGAGATAGAAGAGAATACATGTATAGAAATACAAAATTTAATCAATAAACTTAAGTATACTTCTTACTGCTGAAAAATTCATTAAATTAGACTAAGAGAATAAATTTGATAGTGTGCTACTATTTAAAGAACAATTTGTTACTATTCTTAAAGAAAATAATACTATTTATGATAAAGAAGGTGATAAAAATATTATTTAATTATAATTCTAAGATTTTAACTACATTTAATACAATTTTTAACTATGTAAAAAAAATGATGGTTAAGATATTTTTGATAAGAATATACTAAAGCTAATGAAAAGTTAGAAAAATGACTTAGTAATAATTTTTTTTTTAAAAGTAAACAAGTCTAGATTTATTTATTGCAGATAAAGGTAATAATTTTAAGCCTAATGATACTTATATTAGTCTAGTTAATAATACTATAAATAGGAAAAGAAAGGATGTAATTAGTATTATTGATATTAAAAATTTTAATTTGTATTTAAATGAGTTTAATTTTTATAATCATGAAGATAATCAAGATTTTATTAAATATTAAATCAATCAGAATAGCCTTTACAAATAATATACAGTATGACAGTATTACATAAAGTATTATACTTGTATTATACTAAATAAAGTAATAGTTATTGAGTAACAAAATATAAAAAATGTTTGTATGTGAGTTTATAATAAATAACAAAAAACATTTTTGTTATCTTTTACTAATTGATTTTAATTATTTTTATTAGTAAACAAATTAATAAATTATCATATAATTATATTATTTTTGATATAGCAAAAATCTTATTTTATTCGTTATATACTATAACAAATTTTTTTATTATAGTAGCAATCATAAATATCTGACTGTCTGAGATCATCCAGAAATATAATATAACAAATACATGATCACTTATATATTTATAAGTATTAATAATATAAAATATTTAGATAATCACCAAACTTTTACTTGAAAAATGGATTTTTTTTAGAAAATAATATAAAATTGTCTTTTATGTAAGCATTCAGCTAATATAAAATTTAGTTTAGATTAATTGCTAAACAGGTATATTGTAATAAGTCTATAGCTATTTATTAGCTTAAAAGATATCATAATAATTAGGATTTAAGTACTTCAGAAAGACTGGATCAGTCTTGTAAAATAATTATAATTGCAAGATAAAACCCTAACCTATTTTAGCAAAAGTTAAAACTTTTGACAGATATTGACAGTTTCAAAAATTTTAACAGGTTTTGATGGGTTTTGATGAGTCAAAAAGTTGACAGTTTCAACAGTTTTGATAATAACTTTGCAAATTCTTAAAAAGGATGTGAATATATACTATTTTACATAGACTATTATATAGATCATTATATTAGATGATTACTCTGAGAATAAAATTAAGACTTTATTAAATTTATAGTGTTGATTTAAAAAATTCCAAATAATGAAATTTTTTTTAATGTTTAACATAAAGGGTAGCTGTAATATAAAAATATG